ATCTTAATTAATTTGTACATTATTTATACATTAATATAATAGAATAATATTATATACATCTTTCAATAGTATTTTTTTGTTAACACATGTTGAATTAAATAATATCTATATAACAAAACAAAATGTATGTACGTATGTGTATACATATTGTTATCAGACATATTATATATTCATTTTAAAATCTTAAGAATAAAAAATGAAATTACTATTATCATACAATAAATAATTTTAATTTTTTTAACCAAAAGATAAGTTGATCATAACTATTCCTCGTCTGTATATTTTAAAAAAGTTTTTTTTTAAAAAGTACATTAATATAATTCTACTTCTATTAATTTTAATATATTTGTTATAATTATTATCTAATATTTCCTAAGTTTCTATTTCTTTTCTATTTTAATTTTTTATCGTTAAATAGAATTATATACATTAAAGATCCAGTAAACCCCACTCGTCGTACAGTGGCAGTCTTCTTATCAATATTTTTTTATAATTCTCACTCTTTAAACCTGGATTTACATAAGTACCAGTGCCTAACATTTCATCCAAATCTTTCGCCTCAGTTTTATGGCATAGCATAAACTGTAAAGCTGTAAAAGAAGTCATCATACCATAGCTAGCTTTTCGTTTTAGAGCAGCCTTTAATTCCTTCATGGTGGGCGGTTGCGTCTTGCAGTTCAATTGCTTCATAGTCATTGATAAGGTGCCAAGATATTCATTTAATAGAATATCTCTCTTATTTTCAATGACATCGAAGGAAATACTTGAATTGAGAAAATAGAGAAGATCGATAGTCGGCGATGCGTAGACGCATAATTGAAAGTCTACCTATAATAAAATAAATTTTTTTGACCATCAATTTTTTATATCTACGGTAATTGTTTGGAGATAAAACCTGTATATCAGGAAAGAAGTAAGACATCAGACATGTTTAAGAAGTCGCGAAGACAAAGGTGGTAGTTTACATAGATGACATGGGCAAACGAATATGCCTGCATGTGCAATTAAACTGGATAGGTACATTGCATTTATTCAAAATACATTCCATATTCAAGTATCTCATATATTATCACTGTCTGTTTATCTTGATTGCTTAAGCTGAAATTGCGGATGATTAAATTGCGCTAAAATGTACTTACCGTAATAGAATTTCTTGAAACATTATTTATTTATTTAATATATCGTTATATAAATATATATCTTTCTCTTTATTATGATTATAATAAATAATATTTATATTTAATTAAGAAAGTTATAATAAACTTTCAGAAATATAGATAGTTAGAATGTAGTGAATGAGCTATCTTAAATTGTGTTTATAATAAAGTTCACATATATTATTCAATTATAAATATGAAAGATACTTGTGAGTGTCTTAGAATAGATTTTTAAAGTAAATTTAATCTTTTAATTTTTCAATATAAGTCTCATATGAAAGTATATATAATCATCATATCAAAGTATCATATAAAATATAAATTGAAAATTTCATGAATTGTTTTACTTAATTTTAGTTCTTAGTTGCAAGACGAAGTCTAAATGCTCATTGATTTATTATTGGATTGTCCGGAAAGTTCGTGCCGATTTTGAAGGAAAATTGAAACGTAGAAGATTTAAATTTTAGTATATTTATTAAATTTAAATCTTTTGCGGGACGAACTTTCCGGATAACCCAATATATTCACGATTTTCTTGCAAATGTAGTATTTTTTATAATTTGATGGTACTTACAAAAATCTGATCAATAGGCTTGCCATTATTGTCATATCTGAACAACATATTATTCACGTGACAATCACCATGATTAATAACATTAAATTCATCCTCACAGACCTTGAATGCATTCATTCCTATTTGATATACGTGATCAGAGAGTTTAGCAATTTTTTCTGAGTATCTGTTAATAAAAATCAAATAAATTTGAAATCATATGAAAATATGTAAAAGTAATATAAATATTTTTTTTGAACAATGCAACTTGTACTTATATTTGTAATTTTCTTTTTAACATATTTTTCCTTTTCATATTAGTTTCTTTGTGTCACGTATCATAAAACATCTTGAACATTAAAAAGTAGAGCAATAAACATTGTCTTAATTAAATGCAAATCTTACTTTTTCACTTCCGGCCAGTTCATAATCTCGTCTGCTAAAGCTTTAGTACTCTTAATGAAAATATCTTTCATTTCTGCCGGATGCTGGCTATTAATTATTCCTTTCAAATACATCTCTTTCTGCTTTGGTTCCTAATATTAAAATAAAATAATA